AAAGCGCGTTGTATTTGTTCTTCTAGCATATTGATTAACAAGAAAAAATAAATTTCGATTTGTTTTTTTCTCCTTCTTCAGGCTTGATATCAAATGGCGAATAATACTACGAAGGAAAACGATTTCATTTCGATTGAATTGCTGAAAAATATCACTCACGAGACGTATCGTATTGGTTTAACGATAATATTCATCTTAGGTGTCACTGGACATTTGTTCAATATGCGACTATTTACTCGGTCAACAATGATAACAAATTCGTGTTGCAACTATCTTCTCGCTTCGTCTTGTGTTGATCTCATTCGCCTTTTCTTTGGTCTATTGGTGCGAATGCTCTATTTCGCTTATAACGTTGATACACCAGATAATACTATTGATTGGTGGTGTAAAATCCGCGTCTCGATCACTTACACATCATACTTGATTTCAGCCGCGTTGAATACTGTAGCTTCATTTGATCGTTATGCATCGAGCTGTCGACGAAGTCGATATCGAAGTTTTTGTCGACCAATGGTAGCTCATCGAATCATTCCCATTGTGATCGTTGTCGCATGTATCAGCAATTCCCATATGTCATTCAATTTGATCATTGTCAACGGAGAATGCTGGACAAGACCTGGATGGTATCAAATAGCTTATGATATATTTTTTATGGTCGTATACAGCCTTTGTTGTCCACTTCTGAGTGGAATTTTTAATTTGTTGACTATCAAAAATATGCGTCAATGTCGTGTACCACGTTTATATGAAACCAAGATGAAAGACTTTCAGCAGATGACGTTGGTTAATACAATATGTTTCATTCTTCTTACGATGCCGTTCGCTATTCACAAGCTGTACAATGCCGTAACAGTCCACAATTCAAAAGACTTACTGCACCGCGAATGGGAAAATTTGAGTATGTGCATCGTTCGAATTTTATGGTTTACTAATGATGCTGCTGGATTCTATATTTATTCGCTTTCATCGAAGAGATTCCGTAAAGAATTTCTCGCATCAATCCCTGGGTTTAATCCTCACTGGTTGAAATCAGAACATCGACGTTTACCATAATTCACTGCTATCAGCTAGTAATCAAGCAAATATTTTGATAAACTTTAACTCATACACTGTGCAGCAAAAATCGACTTAGAGCATACTTAGACTAGGACCACCAGCACTGTATCAATCATAACATCAATAAATTGTTTGAAAAATTTGGAAATGACCAAATTATAAAAACATATTTAATAAGCGGATAATAAATATAGTTCAATTTCGAATGAAATATTCAGGATCATTTATAATATAGTTTTATAATAGAATGAACAAACAATGTTGTATTTTTACAACTTTTATAGAGTATCTATATATTTGTAATACGAAATTGAATTCCATAGTGCCTATCTTTTGTAATGACATAAATGTATTATTGTCTTGAGATGAGTCACACTTGTTAATATGAGAAGCTACAAATTAATTCTAATAAGAGACTGATTTGTGCTCTACGTTGTCATTAATATGATATGTATAGTTTTGGAATATAATTTTTTTCTAAAAATTTAGCAGAAAATCACGTTTCCCAATAATATCTCTTTAATTCAAAGACAATATCTTCAGTTTTAATTGCATCCACACAGCATGAGCATGTTACTTTGATAGTTTTCTTCGGTTTACTGTATTTCTACTAAACTTGAGAAATTATTTATTTTTATACAGTAAACTACAGCATTCATTTCTCTATCGAACTGTGTATTTTTTATTTGATTTATCCATCATCCTGACTGAGTATTCAGTAATGTTTTAGAAGCCCTCAAAAGTTTTTTTTACACGGTGATATTTATTTGGAAGAGGAATATCTCAGTGAAAATAGATCTGATTGTCATGAAAGTGGTCTTACATTGAAAAGATGCTTGAGACTCATGTTTTAATAGAGTACTAAATTAAACCATTTCTGTATTTGAGGAGAGCACTGCATTTTATTTTTTTAATTTTAAATCACCTAACACTTTCTGTCGCAGCATTGAACCGTCTAATGCAGATTTTACGTAAAAGCTCTCCACTGAATCAGACTCAAATTACATGATTCTATAGAGAAATCAACGCTCTATCAAGACATATATTAATGAGTAAAAGATTTAGAAGCTTAAATAACTAAAATTTCTTTGAGAAAAAACAGAAAGAGTTGTATGAAAAAAGTTACCAAAAAAAACATTTTAGAAAACCATCAAGTTTATTATCAAGATAAAGAATAAGTCCAATAAAAAGTATACAGCATAACAGAGAAACAAATGTTCTATTCATTTATATAAAAACAAAAAAGTTTCAGTACTGAAGTAGCTAGCAGTTACTGGGAAAATTAACCGAGAAGGGCGTGGATGGATGTGCATGTAGTTCTTCTCTCAGTCTCAACCCGATCCTGACACTTACTCACAGCCACACCCCACACCCCACACCCTTTCAATGCGAAATGCTTTTTGGATTCAGTAAATTTCGACGAGTGTGCCATCTTTCACAGGAAATGTTTTGTAGATTTAGCGAAATAAAAATACAGTTTCCCACTACATAAACGCAATTTACGTGAATTGTCAGAACGAAAGAAAAGTTGGGCATTTTTTCTAGCATAACATTGTGTACTCAGACGATGTAATAAAATATTCTGTACTTTTCTTACAGAACTCTTTGTGCTCTCCAAAAAGCGAAAAAGTTCCTTATATTAATCTACAAAATCTTTTGTATAGGAATAGATAATAAAAGATTTTTCCGAAAACCTTTTGGGATGAGTGAGCAGCAAAAGATTTTACATAAAACTTTTTGCGTCGACATCATGTCCACAATGTCTCAAGCAAAATATTTCGCTTAAGCGTTAAATGAAAATGATTTCTAACGTACTAAATGCATCGATATTTCATGATTAGAATAATATTTTTTGTTATCCATTATTGTCATTAATCATTACAGCTATTAAGAATTTATTGGGATTTTCTATTAAGACTTAGAGTTATGATACCAAGATATTTGGTCCAGAGAATCGTTGCTTTTACCGCTCCTTAGAATTCTTCTTTGCTCGCTTTTGTGTAACATAGTCGAACATTTAGATCGTATTCCTAACAGGTAAATATGTGTGTTATCATTGTTTTGAGAGAATGATAACAGTTTTTTTTTGTACACTAACAAGCGACAGTTCAGTGTAAATGTAAGAGGTTTCTTATTAATATCTAGAAATAGTAACTTTCTATTTAAATATTGTGTAATTAAAGTAATAATGAGTATAAGATCACCGAATGATGATAACAGAATGAAACATATAGAAGATGCATTTAAATATTTATTAAAATGAACTCATCCTTATGAATATTAGAATAAACATTAGAATTTATATGTAAATGTTTATCAAAAAAACTAAAGAAAATAAACCATTGGCAATGCTTAGATTTATTTCTCAATCTTCTTCTTTTTTGAATATATTTTCATCACACAAATAATAAAATAAGTATTTTCAAATAAAAAGTAATATCTCTTAACTGTTTATCGAAGAAGATGATGATGTTAGAAAAAAAAATTTCATATTTAAATTTATTCAGTTGTTGATGGTGAATCTCTTTGTTTATCCATCACAATAATAAAGAAATGTCGATGCTGTCACGCTTAACTTAAAATGCAAATAAATTTGTTTCGTTTTGGAAGTCGGACGGAAAAAAATGTGTTTTGAGCACCACAAAAAGACTATTTTTACAAAAAACAATAACACATAGATAATAGATTCAATCAAGATCAATTTGAGGGTGAGGGTGGGTAAGAATTTCTGGATGTTACTATCTCAAGATAAATCTTTCCGACATTATATTTTTTTTGAACGATTTTTCCTTCTGATTCTAATAGGATATTAGATAAATACTATGAATGTATGTCGAATTGACAAAATTATTTCGCTAACAAAACTACGTATTTCATATTTCTAAATCAATGAACGAGAAGATTTCCTTTGAACTCATTTTAATATAGATCGAATACTTTGAATACGAATAAGAGCAAAGTCAAGTTCATTGTTATATAGTCAATGGAATAGATAACTATTACATTCGAAGACTTCAAATAGTGGTAATCGAAGTGTTAGACTTTGCATCGAACACAGTACACTAATATGGAAATTTCTAGAACAAACTTATTTGTTGGTGAATGCGAAACTAACAGGGAAGGATAAGAATTGAAATGAGATTGAATAAAATAAACAGAGAGACCGTTTTTTTTTCTCAATTTGTAAAGCGCTACATATTTCTCAAATCCTGTAATAGTTGTAACATCTGCAGATGAAACAATAATATATGAAATCTTTACAGTTAATCTAAATAATATTGGTAGAATATTTCTGATTGTCCTAGGAAATGTAGGTGTAGCACTTAATTTCTTTGTATTTGCATAAACTATAATAACTGTATATTATATTACAAATCTTTGCTATAATTTGATCAGATTTTTTTTTGTTAAGTTTCTGTTGCACATTGTCTGTTGAATTTCAATTGCGAAAACAAATCATAGAAATCTTGCACAAATTCAATCCACTTCAATCATCGATACGCAATGTATTAAACATATTTTTAATTATCCATTTCAAATAAAATCATAAGATGTAACAGATGACATTTTAATTTGATATGAATAATTTTGTTCATTAATTAATCGGCAACTAGTAACTAAAAATAGATCAATAGCAATATATCTTGTAAAAAGCGATAGTAACATATCTATGACACAATGATTGTGCATATGTCGGTATCGTGCCGTATAGACATGAGCGTAGCTTCACTACCAAAATTACAACACATGTTTCGATTGACGTTAGTTTCTTCCTTTCCTGTTCTCTGTTTTTTTACACGATAACACAAAAGAAAAGTCATTTTTTTTCGTTCTGTCTCCACGTGATAAGTTGTGGTGGAGAGAAAAAGCGATGTCGTTTAGATTGTCTGCTTCATTTTTGTGTTGATGATCGTTCGCAAAGAAAATCTAGTTGTGTGTCTTTAATGTCTGTCTTTCTATCTACTCTTCGAAAGCAACTCTGTACAATAAATTGTAAAACACTTTTTCTTGATTCTACACAAAGACAGCATCGTTGGTTTGATGTTAGTCGTACTCTTTCCAAATCATCAACTGAATTACGAAGATCAATGCATCGAGTGGAGACTATTCCTGTTGATTCTCGTGTATTGAATGGTGATATTCATATCTTAACACCCGATGGTGTTCTTCAAGCCCATTATGGTCCATTTGATCGTGCTGAAATCTGTCGTGAATATAATATTGGACCACGTGATTTGCGAAAGCTCGATCCAGATCTTCGTATCAATGTTCCTGCTATTAGTGTTCGTCATGGAAAATTCATTCTATTTTCGTTTCGACGCCATCGAGCTGTTGTTCAACCTCATCGAAGTGTTTTCTTCGTTCCATCAATTGAAAAAATTCCTTTTGAACCATTTGGAATCAAGAATGTTGCTGAATGGGAAAAGATTACTCATGCTTATCGTCGAAATGTTCGATATATTCATCAAGTCTACAATCAACGATATATTACAGAGAGTACAAAATCATTGTCTCATATGCCATTCGAATTACAAATTATGGAAATTATCGGAGAATCGATAGCATATGGACTAAAATTAAAAACTCAAGATATTCTCATGGAATTTGAAACAATACGTCAAAGTAGTTATGCTCGAATAAGTATTGACAGTCTTCGTGAACTTGGCTTTATTAAAAGTAAAGTCGATAGACATCATCGAAATGCTGATCTTGCACATCAAGCTTGGCTCGATTTACTTTCTTATGACCAAAATATGATGGGATTGTATTTGACTGAAAATCGACAAAGTGATTCGTCTGATTTAAGCGACGTTGAACTTATACTCGAATCTTGTGCGAAACAGATCGCTGAAATTTGTCGATTAGTTTATGATCTGAAAGATTCTGTTCAAACTGTTGAAAGTACAACGGGATTTATGCTTGATGCTGTCAGAAATCATCTTCTAGCTTTCGAAATACGAATCAATATTATTACAATGGGATTTGGTATTGGAGCATTTATAACAGCTATCTATGGAATGAATCTTTATAGTGGAATGGAAGAACATCCACGTGCATTACTTTATGTTGCTGCTATTTCATCTTGTTTCGCTATTACATCAATTGTTGTAGGAACCTATCGTTTATTCAAATACAGAAGAGTTAAACTTCATCGTCCGAATCAAAATACATTATCATTGTAAATTATTGATCTTTAGTATTTTTTTTTCTTCATTGGAAATTAAAGTTGCTTGTAGAAGATTTTTCAGCGCATTCAGAATGGTTTTGTTTTTCACAATGCTGTACGTTATTGGAGAATGTTCACTGATTGAATCTTTATTCAGATGATTATTTGATTGAGCTTAACAACTCTTTTCAGTATAAAAAAGATTGTAACTGTAATGAGTATCGTTTTTTTGCTGGTTCTATAGACTATTAAAAGAACTTCATTCAACCGATACAGATTCCAAGCCGAAACGAAGACAGAGGAACAATAATATTCTGTTCTTTTCAACTTAGTTCAAATATAGATGAAATAGAAATATATCGAAGATCTACAATGAACTCCTTCTGAGTATCTCGAAAGAAGATGAACTCTTGAGAAAGTATTTATTTCTATTTGTTTCTAATTAGAGAGTGAAGTGATCAATCAATCATTTCGATAATAATCATCTTGATCGATGAAGAGAAGAAGAAACTTCTTCGAAGGTTGGTTTTTTCCTTTGTCAGAAATGTGAGAAGATAAAGAAGATACACTATGTTGTAAGATGATTTCAGATTTGATTTCCTTTTGTGAATTCAAATCTCACGCATACAATGGCCAGCTAGTCAGATATACACGGAAATACTCTTTACTATTAATAGGATCTAATCATTTAAATAAATACATGTATATGTAACCTATCATTTTCTAGAAGGCTACTTGCAAAAATTTTACAGAATATCCCAGCAAAAAGATATGCCAAAGCTTTAGCCTATATATAAGAAAAGTTTATCAGCTTAGCAAAATAACATAATATTTCACAAGCAAACAATATTAGAAAGACCTTGCTTATCTATAAGATTTTTGTTAAAAAAATGATTCTAATTCAAATTAAAACAGAATAGAAAACAAATAATTTCTAGCCTGAAAAGTGTCGAAAAACTTTCCGTTCTCTATTGTAAATTCTACAGAATGAACAACCATAAACTATGTTATTTGATGATATTTTTATATGGTGAAAAATAATCTTGTTAGTATATACAATCCATCACAATAAATATATTAATAAAACTATTTTCAAAATGAAATGATCCGAAAAAAAGACGAAGTTGATTTTTATACACTTATTGAAAACAACTTTTGAAGTTTATTTTAATAATAATTTGTGTACGAAAACAACTAATGATTTAAGTAGTATTAATAGCAAATAGTTTTTATTTACAAATTGAAAATTATTGGAATGATCAATCAATGTATAAACTTAGTGAAAATACCCCTAAATGGATTGAATACATGAAAATGAATAAGAGAACTGATTGAAACTAAGATTAAATAAAGTGAACAAATACTTGATCGAAGTTTATGATTAAGAGCGAGAAAATATGATATTAAAAGTAGACATATCATTGATAACAATAATAATAATAGCTGATTGTATATAAAAGAGACTTCTATCGAATAGATTAAATTTAATTGATGTTCACAGGTGTTCCACACTTTTCAAATAAAGAGAATAAGTCTATTTTATAAAGAAAATATTTTTCAATCTTGGTTCATTAGAAATATTTTTCAACTCAATTCCAACGAGGGTATGGATGTGGGTATGGATGTGAATCTTCTCTTAGCCTACACTCAAACCCCACAACCACACTCCACACCCACACAGAAATTTGAAACAGATCAATCAAACCAAGTCCATAGCTGTTGTTTCTTGCCGTGGAACAGAATGAAACTGGCCAGTAAGAAAGTATGAACCAACGTTAAGCTTCTTTCTATTTTTCTTTAATAGATTATTTGCGAAAAAAAGTTTTAAATGAACTTGAGCATTGGATTCTTCATTCTTGATCAATTTTTATCAAATTTTGTGAAAGTTCTTCAAAGATCAATATCAGTGTTCTTAGAAATATGTCTCATATTCTTTGAATGAAACTCGCATATGCCTATGGAATTTCTTTTTTGTAGCGTGATCTAAACATGAACACTCGAAAAGTTTCATTATATTGAACCAATCCACTCTTGAGAAAACAAAATCTATTTGGAAATGTTTGAAAATCTATGTCTGATAAGGGTCTGAGTATGGGTGTGTAGGTTGAATTAGATATAGGTGCGAGGAATGTGGATAACTTGGTACAGTACGTGTCTTAATGAAAACTTATTCTCTCATCCACAACCTTATACATATCAGTACCACAAATGAAATGAACAAATAGAATTCATTATCTTTAACAAAAGAGTAATTTATATAATTTTGACATATCAGCAGAATGATCTTTTGATCTTTTGATCTTTTACAGTTCGACATTTTTATGTGCAATATTTTCCTTTCTAATCATAAGAGAATCAACCGCTAAATATTCAAGTACGTATGAAAAAAATGAGTGGGAATTGCTGTGAAATTATTATCATGCCACAGCTAGGTTAAAAATTTGAAAAATCAATGTATTAAATTATGTGCTGACAATGTATGTTGGAGAAATAGACTGGGAAAGGAAGAACGAATAAAGTCGTACTTGTTGTTAACCCTTTAACGGCCAAATTTTGGATGGTTAAGTTCTATCGGTGCCGACGATGCACTCAAATAGACCACGATCTAGATTTTCATCCATGAGGATGTTGATGTTCTTAGATGTGAATAAAAAATTCACATATACATCCACGTCCATACCCTAGTTTTGCATCAAACCAATGGTACAATAACTACGTGCTGTACAAAGTAAGCAACGAGGCCATTGCAGTATTATCGTTTTTTCTGCCAGAGTCATTGGTCCTAGTTCATTATAGTTCTGCAATCGAAAACAAAAGTAGTACATATTTGTATCATTGGCCGTGAAAGGGTTAAACATCGCTTCTGTTTTTCGATTTTCATCAAAGTATTTGAATATCGTTCTTAGAGAATTTTTTAATATTTTCAGCACGATATCCATAACTGTTTTTAAATATTCTATCCATTTTTTCAAATTCAAACTGAATACCGTGGATCTTTTTCTTGACCTTTGATAAGGAGACACCGTCTCTTTTATGTTGTACAAATCATTTATAGAGAGGAAAAATTTTTATTGATACAGGGATTTTCTTTTTCATTGTTTTCTTTCTGCGACAAGCTAATTTTTTTACACAAGGGACGCTGAAAATGCTGCTTTAATTTGTGCAGCGAAAATTCGATGAGAAAATGAAAGATGACGTACTTTGTTGGCTTTCGGTAATTCATTCTTCCCCATCTACAAAGAAAAACAGCACAAAAGTATTACTCAACGAACGTCACGCTGCATCAACACATGCTGAGAATCCTGGAAATTTCATAAGACATAATTTTTTTTGTATTTTTGCAAAAGAAGTTTGATTTCCATTGTTCAAAATACATGCAAAACTATTTGATGGAGGGTAGATGAAGATAAAAAGAAGATTCTTACCTAAACTCGCCTAAAAACTTATTATTTATTTACTCTTTTGTTCGAAACAGACAGCAGTGTTCAGAATCAAGACATCTTTGTTCACAAATAATGAAATATCATCCTTAAGAAATTCGAAAAAAATTGTGTCATAGTGTCTGGTGTGTTCAGAGCAAAATCTTTGATGTATTCTTTAGATAGTACGGAACAAGTAATATTGATTGACTATGATTTTGAATCGATCAAAGAGCAACAGATCGTTTTTTCAACGATAAATTGAAATCAAAGATTGACAATATGTTGCTTATATAAATATATATAAATCTTAGTATTTGATGGCCAAATATTTGATATAACAATCAAGTTATAAAGAATTTGAACAAAGGATGCGTAGTATTTGTTTCAGTCAAGGGTTTAGGTTTTGTCTATCAAGTAAGATGTTAAATATTTACTTTTCAGCTATGTAGATAAAAGAGAGAGAGAGAGAGAAAAGTAAAGTTGTTATATCTCCGTAGTATGGACGAGAAAAATGCGCATGAAAAAATCATGATATTCACTTCTCTTTCACCAAAGCAGTGGAGAATTTAAGAACATTCCTATCGACATATTTCATATGCTTTCCTGAAAAGTAAATATAGTCTACGCCTCTCTCTGATTTGAGCTATGGTAAATTTATTATATTGACCATCTCTCGCTCTCTCTTTCATCAGCATGTCTTTAAAGAAAATATCCTGCATTGTGCTCAAGAGAAAGGATTTAATTGTGTATAAATGACCGAAATCATATATGCTATGCATTCGCTGGCAACAGTCTGATCAATATCGGCTATTTAATACAGGTTTGTGAATATAAAATTTTATCAGCATACTAAACGATGTCGATAGGATGTTTCGAGTCTTTAACCAAAATCAGATATTATAAATCACTCATGATTTCATTCGGTACTGTGAGTCGATACATAATAGGATTTATTCATTATGCAGCTCGGTTTGATAATATATATTGAGAGAAATTGAAGAAGTTGTAAAATGATATGATCAATTTTCTAGTTTCGTTCAACGAATGATCCTCAAAAAAAACAATCTTTGGAAAAACTGTAGCAACACTTAATCATCATCATCATCATCATCATCAAGGCATTCAAATTTAAAATCTGATTAGACGTATAAAATAAATTAAAAAAAGTTTAATCTCAAATTAATTTTCATACTTTTTGATTCATAATTTCACTTCATTTTTAAATATATATTCTTAGTTTTAATTTTAAAATGGATTAATTTTATTTAAATCATCTTTAAAGTTTTCTAAATCTTAATAGTTAGAAAAAATCTTTAAAGGTTTTAAAAAATCTAAAATAGTGTAAATATCTATGTAATAAAAATCGTCAGACGCACTCTCAATCTCACATCCTAAGATGTCCACATTAACACTCACACCTTTTTATATTGTTCTTGTAATCAGTAAGAGTTCTAACTAGATAGTGTTGGGAGGTAATTGTCATGAAAGCATCAGTTATGAAATCAAAAAAAAAATATTATTTCACTTTTGAGCATCTGACTTTTTAGTTCAAATCTGCAAGTTAGTTCATTCAAATAGAATTTTATCTATATTGCAAATGAGTTGACTGACATGTCATAACCAAGATGAAATAGTTGATTGAAACAATGAAAAATTATGAAAAGAAAAACTCAATTAGGAAACAGATAAAATTGAATAATTTTTATCTATGCTTGCACTTGTCACTTAATGAAAGATTCTCGCTGAAAATTAAACAGAAAGTATTTTTTTGAAAGCTTGCGAATATAAAATGTTCCCAATCACTTCTTCAATATAGATTGAGTTTATCTTTTTGTGTAACACAAAAGTTAACAGCATAAACATATCGATCAATTAATATGGATCAAAGATTTTGCATTTGTTGAACAAAGTAAGATGTGGATAAGGCACAGGAACTGCACTCATATCACACCGTAGTATCTCTTCTTCCCATTTGACAAGATGACTGTGTCGTTTTTTTGTGTTATAAGGATCATTTATTGAGAGGAAAGAATTTAATTGATGCAAGGATTTATTTATTATTGTTCTTTTTGTGGCAAGCCGATGTTATTGTACAAAAAACACTTGAAATGTTACTTTCATGTGCAACACGAAAATTCGATAAGAAAATGAAGAATGACACATTTTGTTGACTTTTAGGAATTGAAAAGTATTTCCATTTCTCTCTTTGATATCTGAATCTGAAAAGTAAATATAATCTGTGCATCTTACTCGTTTAAATGATATAAAATCTACCATATTTTTATCGTCCTTTTCTTTCATCTGTATCGCTTTAATGGAAACGTTCCGTATTGTACTTCATCACAAGTAACCTAGTTCTATATGAACAACTGAAATCATGCATCTAATACATTCATTTTCTTCAATAGCAACAATGTCGTCAATATCAACAATTCTATTCAGGTTTTTTCCTATAACACTTTATCAATATATTGAATGATGACTAATGTTGTTTCAGCTCTTTCACCGAAAACAGACATCATAAATCATCATTCATGATTCTAATCGGTACTGTAAATTAATGCATAATGGTGCTCGTCTATTACGTAGGACGATCTAGTACAATGTATCCATGGAAGCAAGTCAAGTTGTTTTCGAAGTCATAAGAGCCAATGACGATTTTTCTCAATTGTGCAATCTTTGTCAATTGAAGAAGTAATACAATTACATGAACAACTTTCTAATTTTATCTACTGAATGATACTCAGAAAAGCAAACGTCGAAATAACTCGAATAACTTTTAATCTGCATCAAGACACTTGAAGACATTATAATCAAAATTGAAAATATAATCAACCGACAATTGTACTCAGTGGAATATTGATAGAAATCTTGAACAGAAGACACCTTAGTAACAGAATTTCTTCTTGTTTCATAGTCATAACAATTTTAAAACCGATTTGAAGTACTTTATATAACATGCAGAGTTGGTTTTTTTCGTTTCAGATTTATCTCGAAAGGAACATAACCAGCGCATACGACTAATCAACTTTGTTCGAAAATTATAAAGTAAGTAATTCTAGCAAAAAATGGTGTAGTTCTTCTCTTTTCTCTCAAGTAGTCGCCTTCAAAGATCATAGTAATCAATATTCTACTATATTGAATGATCCGATATCATCTGAATAATTTAGACTGTATCGATACAGTCATCCAAAATCTTCCGTTTGTCTATGTGTGACGCACTTATTGCAGAGATAGAAGACTTTTGCCGATACAATTTCCATTACGATAGCAAATATAAAATTTTATTTGTGCTCAAATCTCAGCTTAATAGCTATTAAAGAAATTCTTTTATATTGATTTCTTTTCGCATGTAATGACATCATACTTACAAGGAATTATCCCACCAATGTTTTTTTAAAATTATATTTCACGGTTAAATATAAGTGTGAATGACTTGCGTTATTCAGGATTGAACAAAATGAGCGATATCAAAAATGATCACGAATATGATAATGTTAATCACTCAACAGGATACTATGACGATTTGAATTATATTACCGAAGAATACTACGTGGAAATCGTCACATCAACATGTCATCTATCTTTAACAGATGTAAGTACATCTAATGGTGGTTTTGACTTAAGTAATAGCTTAGATAAATTTGGTATAAATACACCATTGAAATATTTAAAACCTGATCCAACATCATCATGTTTAGAAAATGTAAATGATATTTCAAAAGGACACTTGACTAGACATCTGCATCACCATGGTAACTGGTCACGACAGCGCTACTATCTATGGCAGAAAGAGTTGCTTGTGGCGCCGTCGTGACCAGTTACCATGGTAATGCAGATGTCTACACTTGACTGATGTTGTTACGTCTGGACTCGGTCTCTCAGTATCAGACATAAGTTATTCCATTGGTAGGGTTGACCTAAATGCTGGATTAGTTGGGGTTGATATAATTGCACCATTGGGCAATTTTAAATTGGATCCAAACGCAGCATGTTTAGAAAATGTAAGTGATATTACAAAAGAAAACTTGACTATTACTGCTACGTCTACACTTGAATTTGCGTCAACGGGTGTAAGTTACTCTATTGATGGAATTAACTTAAATGCTACGTTAGATAGAGTTGACATAAATACACAATTGGGAAATTTTAAACTTGATCCAACAGCTTCATGCTTAGAAGATGTAAATAATATTGCAAAGGGATACTTGATTGATTATGTTAAGCCTACACTTGATCTCTCGTCACCAGATGTAAGTTATTCTATTGGTGGGGTTGATATAAATGCTGGATTACATGGAATTGATATAAATACACCATTGGGAAATATTAAAATCGATCCAACAGCATCATATTTAGAAAATGTCAATAATATTGCAAAAGGATACTTGACTGATGCCGTTACGTCTGTACTCGGCCCATCGTTACTAAATGAAAGTTATTCTATTGGTGGAGTTGACTTAAATGCTGGATTAGATGGAGTCGGTATAGATACACCATTGGGGAATATTAAAATCGATCCAACAGCATCATGTACTGAAAATATAACAAATGCTGTAACAGGACTCTTGGCTGATAGTGTTAATCAAGAAATTGATCAACTTTGTTCTGGTTTCAATAATACCGCACGTATACAGACAGATGGCTCAGTTTATTCTGATGGTACAACTTCTCTTTTAGCATGCCAAGTTAATGCTGGTGCAACCATTGAAAGAGATGGCCTTAAAGCGAATGCTCAAGCAGATGGATCTCTTTCTAAACACAAATTAGGAGATGCTGATATTAGCGTTGGTCACGGACAAGCTTATGCGAAAGCATCCGTAGGAGCTGATGGAGTAAAGGTTGTGGCTGGTGGAGAAATAAATGCTGTGACTTTAGAGCATAAAAATGTTCAAGCAAAAATTGGATTGAGTGCTAAAACTGGGGTTGAAGTATCCACAACGAATATTAGTGGAACTGTTCTTGGACTTGGACTGAATGTTGGGACAGACGGGGTTGGTATAAGTACACCTATTGGAAGTATAAACTCAAAATTTTGGTAAAAAAAACTTAATACTTCTTTGAAAGAAATAATATCGGATGCTGTTATTATAATCGGAACGCTTTTACAATACCTTAACTCATCGTAACTATGATGAGATTCATATGAAACCATTTTGCAATATTTTTGTTTCGTGTTATATCACTATCGAAGGGTGTGGGTGTGGGTCGGTGTAGTATAAATTAAAATACAACCCACACCTCACCCACACCCCACCCTTGCTTTTCGTGCGAAGATTCATTCAAAATCTAACAACATGAACACCAATTCACTCTGTGTACAAGTAGAAAGTTCGAAAGGACGAACATCCCATGTTCAACAACTGAAATCATTCTGTCAAGATACTGACGATATTGTCGTCGGTAAACTAGGATTGAACGAATTCGACATTGGCGATGTCAAATCGTTGAAGCACTAGTCAGATGCTTTTGAATTATTTCCGATACTTATTTATTCACTTTTCGATCCTTATGATATCGTATTCTGACATGTAAAATGTTTTGACAAACACATTTTCAAATATACGAAATATATGAAAACAATTTTGAAAAGTATAACGGATTAAATCACAGCATTTCATCTGAGTATGGTTCGATAGAAACTGTTGGGATTTTTTGAATTGAATTGAATTTTTTCTTTGTTGTTGATTTTATTTTTTGATAAGTTAAATTATGTTTGAGCAACGATGTTGACTTTGTCAAACTAAATACATTTATGTTCACATTCAAACCTAACTTCAACACACCTACACACACATACGCGTAAAACTTATCTTCCATCTTCTGTTCTTTTTTTTGATTGATTTGAAATATATGATAATGGCATGAGGAAGGCAGTTAAGTAGATTTGATGTATTCTATTAGTTTTTAAGAAACTCGTTTATCTTCCAAAAATATTCAGAAGACAGGCATAATGGAAATAATGAACATAACGGACATAGTGGAAAAATCGAGGTACCTTTCTGTAGCCTAAACACTTAAGCGATGCGCTCCGTGTGCATTCATCCTCATCTTAACGAGAGAAAGATGCTCTCTGAATGTTTCCATCCTCGTTCTCGCTTATCCGAATATCATCATAACTAAATGACTCTCAGGGCAAACTCACCTAGTTTCCTAATGACCCACATTATGTTTCTGAAATTCATCTAATTTCCGAAAAATCATCCAGTTTCGGAAACTTATCTGATTTCTCGGAAAACCATATAGAACATCATATAAAGTTGTTCACCTTGAACTGTTCGTTTAAAGCATGTTTTAGAAAATGATGAACGTTATTATACATATGGATAAAAAAAAACATTATTTTATAGAACATAAAAAGACCCATGTTTTGAAAAAATTAAGCTTGAACAAATGAATATCAAGAGAGATAGGCTTATTAATTGTGGGACACCTGTTAGTTTTGACTCTCAGTTGTAAATATAACAATACAATTCAGTCAAGTACATTGATCCAGCTTTACATAACTTTGTTTAAATGCTTTTAACATATGTTTACCATATACGATGTCTTCTACATTTGTTTCGAACACTAAATTAAATTTGAAAACATTCTATAGTCTTGACTTAACCAATTCTCAAAGAAAATGATTTATTTACTCATAGATTGTTTTAAAATTCGAATATACAAACTACACTTACATTCATACGTATACACAATTCCTAGAGGTCTCTGACGATCCCATGGAATTCTTCTGAATGTTCGGCAAGTGTCCTCAGCATCCGCTACAGATGTTTTGCGTCACTGTTTCGATATGGAATATTCGAATCATAAAGTCTAACATTTCAAGATTTGAATAGCATAATCGTTTCCAATTCGAGTACTCGATTTGTAAATTTCAGTTCAAAACTTGAAGAGAAGTTTACAATTCGTAACGAATTAACGATTTTTACACTACGCAGTCTCTTTTCGATGGTAGTATTTGTAGTATAAATTTGAAATATTGTGTGCTATTACGTTCTATTTCAATATTCAAACTTAGCTCAACTGGCAAAACGGTAGGCTGTAATGTGATAAATCATAGTAACGTAAAGGTCCCCAGTTCACATCTGGGAGTTTGGATTTTTATTCATTTTTGTCTTTTCTGTATGACATAATGATATTGCAGCACAAGGTAAAACGTGACTTACATTTGCTCGTATTTTAATTGACTGCACAATCAATTTTGTTTCTTTTCTTTCGTTGATATCACACGTGTGAAGAACCTGTTCGTTAGACTAAGTGCATTGTTTTTTAGCGATTCATAGATTAAATGAAACAAGTAAAATGATGACTAAATATTAAGCGATTTTTGACTCTCAGTACTATCCTCCCCACCATTATACCGTGACAAACAGCAAATCAAAACCTCAGATACCATGGCAGACACTGTAACCAAGCAAATAAGACTTGCGAACATGCGTGTGGAAAGCAATGATCATGTGAACACTAGGATATCTGATTCTTTTTAGCGTCAACACGTACAATTTTTTTCTATGGAACACACATAGGCCTGTAAATGTCCATAACTCTACGTTTTTGAGCATGTTCATGTGTATGCCATTGGACGCGCTTCTAAACCATCTGAAGTTCTGAAAGGACATGTGTCAGGATGAATATCGCTGTGAATGGAATGTGGGCCTGGATTGAGACAGGAGTGGATATGGATAAAGAGAAGATCAATATCCATACGCACATCTACATCTCAAAATTAAAAAAAAAAGAAAATTTTTGCATCGATCTAATGATTCCAGCTCTGTTGATACTTTCAACGAGTTAGCATAGATATTTTCTCTGTTTTTTACATAAACTCATCAAAACAAACTTTTCTTTCTATTAAAAATGGACTTCGACATCTAATTTATCTAGACAATATATTATCGCGTGCTGTCATCGAAAAACATACTTTTATGCTTGACATATATTCATACATGAATTAAACGAGTTATAAGTCATGTTTTTCCTGTTTTCTCAGCCGAGACACTATGACAACATTATTCTGACGTTTATTTGACTGCATGGGCATTTATATACTCAAGCCAATAAAACGAGATAAAAACAGATCATTCTACAAACACAGATTTATCCTATCTATAATTGACCAAGAAAGACGCTATCCCATATACATGTTAACCAATAAACAATAGAGTTAATATACAGGCATCCAGCTTCTCTGTTTTTCTTTCTCTTACATCTAACATGTCTTTATCTATGCTACTCGTTCTTTTTCGCTAATATTTACTTCGGTCAATGTTTCCTTTTCCGTCCTAATAACTGCTAAATTCTCATGGAAGAACAGAACGAAACATCATTTTTGCTATGCAGAGAATATGAAAAAAATCGGCTTTCTTTTATATATTTTTTTCTTTATCCTTTCTACATATCACATGATGATGATTAACAAACAGCGCTTCTTTATATCTTTCCAAGCTTCATTGTATTGTTTTTTTGTTTTCAATATTAGGCCTTTCCTCGTAATTTACGAACGTAGAACGAAGAAAAACAAACTAACAATTCTATTGTAATGAAAACTATTATTTCTCACTTATTCATAATCAAAACAAAGATTTATTAGACATACATTCTCAATATTGGAATTATTTTGATCCATCATTTTCATCTGATTAGAAAGTATATTCAATACTCAACTGATTTTAGCTGGGTTGTTCTCTTCAGACGAATGAAACTTAGAAAGATACCCATCATATATACGGTCAATAACATTGTATGACAAATTCTGAGTAGTATTATATATATATATCAGCTTACGTATTTAACGTGTTTTTTTTTGGTAAATTACCATAGGATATGGGTAAAGATAAGATCAGGACTTACACTCACCCTTATAACAATGTTTTACCTACCTTGTAACTATTGGATATGTTACAGGGTTTAATGCCGACGCTATTGTGAGTTCTTCGTCGATTATCTTTGCATCTACTTCCAAAACAGATCCAGTTTTATTATAGCGTCAATCGAGTTCATTATACATTTTGTGAAACTCACATATATTGTCGAAGAAAATAATGAATGTAAGTTTTAAGTCGAAGTTTTCTGACTTTTCTCATCCTCCTATCTTCCATTACAGACCTTAGCAACCACAGAAAACAGGCATCGGAGTTCTTGTTCTGTGTTCAATAGTAACAAAAAACTTGCACACCACGATACAAGTGGCAAAATTTTGACTGCTCTAGAACATTTCAAAATCCTTGTCAAAATTTGAATTGCTAGAATACGTTTGTTAATATTATCAATAGTGCAGCTTTTGATTTTTATGCAGATAAAAATTATATTCAAGATATTAACGATGATGAATAATGATGCATCGATTTGCCACAATCGTAATATAATCATCATAAACAGAATAAATTGATTAAGTTGTTAATCTGAAAAAAAAAGAAACTCAATATCAGTGTTTGTGAGTAGATCAAGATGTATCATAGTTCGTTAATACTTGTCTGTAGATATAATGTATATGTATAGCAGACTTATTTACATGTTCAATCAATGATTAGAATGGTAATATAGTTAAATTAAGAAAAAAAGGAATGCAAAAAATAGGAATAGCAATAAAAAAATAGAATGTCACTAAAGAAATAAATTTTGTTCGAAATGCAAAAATTAAAAAGACAAATTACTTTTTTTTTTGCTGCCGATCGATTATGTTGGAAAATAACTATAATGTGCTATAGTTTTTTTTACTTTACATATTTTTTATTAGTATGATATGGTACTATAGACAAAATATCCTAATAGTTATTCATACAACAAATTCTTTCATATTAACTGGTTTATCAAATAGTCTACAATTTAATTAGAACTTTTAGTCAGCACTATAAATGAATATTAAGATGATGAATTTAGATAGATTTTATTTATTTAATTATACCTCGATTCACTATTTGTTCTATTTTCGATAAAATATTTTTTTGTTTCTTTCTAGTCATATAACGGAATTTAATCTATCAAGAAAAATGTTGTGACCAATCGGATAAACATCATGTAAAATATTCATATGAAAAACATGTTATGGAACTGATAAATACAACAGAAGTAAAAAGAAAACGAAATTACATTATTAGTACTCTTCAAGGTAGATTTTTTATGACAACTTCTCTTTAGTTTCATCATCAACACATTTTGATCAATCATCACAACAACAATAATAGGATCATGATCATAATGAACAAACACCTTGCATAATGGAAATTCAAATGTTTCGACATTTCAGATTCTAAACATTGTGATCAATATTCTCATCCAGATATTGTTTAATAGCAGAATGATTCTCGTATCCATTGCAAGTGGAGTATTCAATGTCATGATCAAACTAGTAATCATCGAATGAAGTATTCTCATCCTTCAGTTTGATATCATTAAGACATTTGGTGAAGGCTATCAGGGTGTTGGTTTCCTTTTCTACTATACCCACACTCTTTTCGATAACAGGAGAAGAACTGTGATGATAGAAGGTGCTGGAGACAACGTGTGCATTTTGTTTACAGAATTCATGGTCGATTTTTTTATTCAACTCAAGTTTAGAATACTAATATTCGATTGGAAAAAAGTTCCTCTTGCCGTCTACATATAAATTAGATTAGTTTACTAGTTTGCATCTTTTGAGAGTTATAAGTCTTTTTCTAAAAGTCCTGATTTCGCTCAGTTTTGGTTAGACCGCAGAAAATATGGCAACGTAAGAGTTATTAGTGACATCTCATGAGAGTGATAATGTTTAGTTTTTCAATTCGAAAATAATCTACGATCAATAGATTAAGACTTTCTAATTATCTATTCTTTGCGTTGCATAGAATCAAAACAGTTAAATATTGAAAAAACCTTAATATACTATCATTCTATTATTTTTAAATAGAAAATAAATATCTCTACTACATCCAAAGTAGTCGATTGAATGAAACAGATTAATAGAATAAGACATGCATAGATCAAAATAAAACATATTTTTACAATAAATAACATTATTCTAAATTCAAATCGACCACAAATATTGTCAATAAAATTGTAAGCGAAAAATCGACTAAATGGTGAATTACTGACCAATTCAATTTTGACATTAGTTTATTTTCCTCCAGCATTTTCTTTGTAATATCGAAGACTATAAACGACTGACTATCACTAGTCTCACAATATTGAAAAAAAAACTCGCTTCTTGTATATTTTAACGTTGATAATGAATCTCCATCAATTGAACGCGCTATTTCGTTTTTTTCATCTTTCCACTTAGCACAGCAACATTTTCTTTGAACACATTTCGACTTATTTCTAGATGAATATTGTTGCGTCGAGAGCTGTTTGTCAAAAAAAAAAACAATAATTTTCAATATAACATCTCTATGATTAATGATGATCGTTAATGGTACTTAAATACAAGTCAATCATACTGTAACTTTTAAATACCAAGAAATGTTCAAAACATTTGACTACTAAGATAATATTTTTTCTCCCATCACTTTCAATGAAAATTTTAGTTATTCTCACATTTAAAAACAAACAAAAAGCCTGGATGGGAGTGTAGGTATGATGGTGGCACGAGCGCGATCGAAAAAAGAAACACTTACACTCATCTCTAACTACGACCATCCAAAAAATAAGAGGATTCTAGACTAAGGCTCTTCGTAAAAGATCTGCATAAAATTTCCATACCAATTTTTTTCTTTCTAAAAGAAAGAAAGAAAGGAACAGCTGTCCATTAGTAACAGTGTCTATATCTAAGAGAAAGTTTCCAACTCTATCAAATATAGTATGTCGAATAAACGGGAGTGATTGTGACCTTTGTTTCTTTTAAAAAAATTCAATCAGTGTTGAATTATCGTTTTGAGTGTGTATACCATGTTTTATTTTTACCACCATCATTACCAAATATTAATTATGCAAACATCCTAACATGACTTTTCTGCTAAAGAATCTCTGAAGTCGAATTTTATTACGATTGCGAACAAGAACAGAAAAGAACATCTCTAATGTATTTAACGTTTGATAGAAAAAAACATTGAAATTGAAAAATCCATTTCATGGAGACGGAGAAAGGGGGTAAGTGAAGTGTTAATTTACATCTATACAAGAAGACTGCTTCGAATGTTATCATCATTTTTACCGTAATTTTCAGTCATTTTCTAGTACGCCATTAATAGACTATCTATAATCTATAAACAATAAAAGCATACATAAAAGAAGTTTTCAATTTCAGATTTAAAATGTCTTCATTGACAAATAACGAATGTTTTATATGTAAAAATGAACTAAGAAATACAGATGTTGTGGTAATCACAGACTGTAATCATACATTTCATCGTAATTGTGCTCAAGAATGTCTTGATACAAGAAAAAAATCCGATTGTCCTGTATGTAATCAAGAATCGGCTGTTGTCAATGCACTTTCTCGAGATATGACGACGAAAATTACAAAATCTATGAAAGAAATTTATAATCCATTGGAAAATGTAAGTTATTTCTATTATTTTTATTTTGAATGAATCAAATATTGAAACAATATAAAGTTTAACTATGTAGTTTTTTTTTTCGTGAAAACAAAAAATTTATATTGATTGGGAACTATTGATTTTATTCGTTTTGACAATCTTACTAATCTAATTTCAATCTATAAAACTAAGAAAAACGAAATCTGATGTTATTTTACTAATTAAATATTACAACTAAAAAGCAGATGAATACAAATATGAATTTAAATTTCTACTAGTTTAAAATAATAATCGATTTAGATAAAGATAGAATATTTAAATTAAATCTTATATTTCTAGACAAAGAACGAAGATGATTTTATTGTTGTGTCGAATTCTGAAAATCCGATTGGTACAAATAAAAATGATTGTGGATGTGAAGGATGTTCGACTAGTAATGAAAAACCAATAAAACGATGTCAAAATTGTGGAAGATTACGACATAGTCTCCCTTCAATATTTGATGAAAAAGTAGATAGCAAAGAAAGCACAATCAATGAAATATTACCATCAAGTAAGAATCAAAAAGATTATTATTATTATTATTATTATTATAAATCGATAAGTTTAGTCATAAAATTGAAATTAAAATATGAGACGTAAGATCTTTCACATCATATGAAAACATTCGCAATAATTTTGCAAAGACTATGATTACTCATAGACTTTCATATGAAAAATATGATCATTTGATCTACGAAGATAACTTTTTACAAAACATTCGTTTTCAAATTCTATTTACAAAAACAGACATTTTTGACATATTACAAAAAAAAAACTTTTAATTTAGCATTATTCATTATAAATCAAAAGCAAACTTAGCGATTGTAAATGTTAGATATTTTTAAAAGTAACTGTCACAACACAAATATTATGTTCATATCTTGAGAACTGAAAAACCAATGGTACCGCTTATCATCAAAATCAACTAAATTCTGAGAGTTTTAATAGACTTTAAAAATATTCATTAGAAAGTAGGATCTCCGATTGTTTTTGAGAGTGGAAGAGATTAAAGTATTTAAAGAAAATATCTTCGTTCATCTTTCTCACACAAATCGCATATCTTTGATATTTTGTCTGAGAGAAGATATCCTTCAATGAATATTTGTCAGAAAAAGAACTAAAACCACTGAAATTCTCTTGCGGTTACAATTTCCCATAAGACTGTAAACAATTTTACAGAAACTATGAAAATTTCAGGAAGAAAAAGCTTCCTGCCATCTTCGACCTAACTGATATCCCGTTCGAAAGCGATATGGCTTTTTTCTCCTCGATCTCTGATTTCTGTCAATGCAGATCACATTGTAGAAAAATAGATCATTGATGGCATATAATTCAATGATGATGTTTATTTCTAGTTTAAAAATAATATCATAAAATTTTCGATAGTCGACTGTTTTGAGTCTATGCTTTAATTCGAAGATCTTGAAATATTTTTATTGATTATTTTTAAACTAAACATAAAGATTACTAACGAGTGCAAAATTGTTGATTACTCTGATAGAGAGCTATTATGCTATAGTTTAACATAAGATGATCGAAACTGAAGTCCTTGAAAAAATGCTCATAATTCCCTGTGGTAAAATTGAGGTATCTACCAGTGTCCGACACGGGTCGGGTCGGCTCGGGCCGGGTCGGGTCACGAAAAACATACTTGACCTCTGGCCAGGTCGGGTCGGGTCACATCATGCTCGGGTCGAATCGGGTCGGGCTACGAAAAAAATTTTTGAGCTCGGATCGGGTCGGGACACAAAAGTTTTATGAGTTCCGAACTTCACATAAGAAAAGCAGCAATTTTAGATGAAATAATCATTTCTTTATTCCGAATACCTATAGAATATGTATCGATTTATTGAGAAGATTGTCAATGTCTGAAAAAAACTCACTTTTATTGACCAAAAACTATCTCTTATCTCGGGTCGGGTCGGGCCGGGTCACAAAAAAAGTGACCCGTGTCGGACACTGGTATCTACAGATAGAAAGAGAATTTTTTTTTTCCCTTCTAATTCCTCTTCTATAGAAATAATGTGATATTCTTTTCATGTTATTGCAAGTAACATCTTCAAAAACGAATAATTTTCTATCGATTAAATTTCGAACTTATCGTTTCAAAAAAAAAAAATATTATTTTGCAATTTTTGTTAAATAGAACGATTTGATTTAGTTTTCTCAACAAAAACCATATCTACTTCTAATATAACCAAGACAATGGCAAAACAAGATTTGGAATCATTGATAGAACATGATGAACAAAAATCTATTGATATGAAATTCTCATATGATCAAACAAAATCATTCATAGAATCTGACATAATTGTTTATATTACGGATTTACCATTAAATATCGATGATGATATTCGTCTAGCAAATTTAATTCATAATCGTGTAGAAAAATCTCTTCAAATTACACCAATCAGTGTTAAATGTTATTCAAAATTAAGTGTTGGTTTTATGTATGTTCGGGACAAACAAATCAAAAATCATTTAGTTGAAAATATTAAACGAATAGTATTAGATTCAATAGAAGGTACATTTATGATTTCATTCCATGACAAAATTTCACTTATTTTATATATTGTTATTGACAAAACAAATGAAAAAAAACATATAAATTTACCAACATCTGATGAAATTCTTAATCAATGGATGAAAATCTATAATGGAGAAAAACCTCAATCATGTAATCAAATAAATATTCAATTTCCTAATATTTATCGTATTGTTTTAACTTCATTCAATGATTTACATACTGTTATATTTAATCCAGATTTCTTAATTAATAATCTATTTGCTCATGTTTATATTGGTGCAACTTGTAATTATTTTGAAGATTTACCAAAATCAATAACTAGAGAAAAATTAAAAAAAGCTATTCAAGATTCAATAGGAATGAAAACTATTTCATCATTATTACTTCATATTGAATTAAATAAACAAACAAATAATGCATGTATAATTGCTTCTGATATAGTTCGAAAATGGACAACAAAAGGTTTTCTCTATCTTGATGATAAACCAATATCAATAAAAGAAAATTTAACTTATCATTTACTTCTTTATCCAATATCTGAAATCTATGATATTGATGAAATTTTAAATCAAAAAATATTTCATGGACAAGCAAAATTTATTGAACAACGTCAAGATAAACTCATTCTTGAAATATCAAATGAGAAAATTTTTGATAAATGTTTAAAATTTGGTCTACTTCGTATTGGTACTAAATCAATATTAAAAATAGAAAATTATATAGAATTTAAAGATCCTGAAGAATGTGAAATTGATACTGAAATATGGTATGAAAATGAAATGATTCATTATAAACCAGATATTATGCAATTTATTACTGATGTTAATCATCCAATTTTTCATTATAAATGGAATGCAGATATATGGCTTCAACAATTTCAAAATATAAAATCTCAAAATTATATTATTAATATTAATTTAAAAAATCATTCAAATCTATCATCTGATCAAATTCGTCATTTACTTCATATGACTGTTATGTTAAATACAATTGGAATTATACGAAAGAAAAAATATCTAATTAATAATCAACAAATTTTATTAAATTTAGATTCAAAATTAAAAACAATTGTCTATAATCATGAATCATTATTAGAACATAATCAATCAATAAAATTAATAACAACAACACCTTATATTGAAACAAATGTAAAAGTAATCAATGAAGATTGTGTTATCGTTTATGAAAATTATTGTAACATATATAAGAAACCACTTCTATTAAATATGGCTAATGCAACAAATCCAGGTGGTGGTTATCGAAAAGGTGATGAAGCACAAGAAGAAAATCTTTTTCGACGATCAGATTATTTTCGAAGTCTTGATATTGATCTTGATTTTATTCAAGAAGAAATACCAGAACGATTTTATTGTTCACATGATGGTAAAATTTGTTCTCTTATCGATATAACAACAATGTATCCAATGGATGAATATGGAGCTATTTATACATCTGGTTTAACATTTTTTCGAAAATCTGAAGATAATGGTTATGATTATATGATAAAACCATTAGAAGGTGTTTGTTCATTAGCTATAGCTGCATATAGAAATCCAAAATTAGATGGCAATATGTTATCACCTAAATATGCTGTTGGTATGAGAAAAAAAATTGAAAATCTCTTTTCTATTGCTTATCATCATAAACATGATTGTCTTATTTTATCAGCTTTTGGTTGTGGTGCATTTAAAAATCCAACTAATCATATTGTTAAATTATTTCATTCAGTTATTGAACAATATGCTGGCTTTTTTCAAACAATTATTTTTGCTATTATTAATGATCATAATAATGGACAAGAACATAATCTACAAGGAAATTTTCAATTATTTAAAGATGAATTAGATGGACTTATTTTTCAACCTATTTTATCATTAAATTATCCAAATACAATTTTTGGTCCTTATCGAATTTCATTAGATGGCTCAACTATACATGATGTAACAATTTTTGATTTAAAACCTTGTCCTTTCGGTGCAAAATGTAATGAAATATATGATTCGAAACATACACAAAAATATTCTCATCCACCTTTATGTAAAGAATTATGTATGAAAGATGTATGTAAACAAACAAATGATTTAATTCATATGTTATCATTTATTCATCGAAATCCATGTAAATATGGTGTTCAATGTAAAGATATTGATAATGAAAAACATTTTCAAGAATATGAACATCCATTTTATTGTCCAAATGCAGAAAATTGTCAAGATACAAGTGAAAATCATGAAAAAGCATATCGACATTTACCTTTATGTAAATATTTTCAAAAATGTTCAGAATATCGAAAACATATAAAAAATCATTGTGAAAAATTTCGTCATTGTAATCCTTCTTGTGAATATGGAAATCATTGTATTCGTTTTCATGATAAACAACATATTGAAACTTACAAACATCCTTTTCCACAACCATGTCCATTAACTCCATATCATTGTACATTGGATGAACAATTTACAATGACGAATAATATCAATAATATTTCATATGAAGTTGATCAACATTGTCTAGATTTTGCTCATGTATGCCGATTTGGACGAAATTGTACTGATAAAGATTCTTTACATTGGGAAAAATGGATTCATGTACTTCGTCCTATTTGTCCATTTGGTAATCAATGTACAAAACTTGTTCAAGAAGATCATTTAAATTCATTTACACATCCTAATATTCGTGATATTCGTTTTCTTTGTAAATATGCTGATAAATGTCGTGATCGTCGAAATCCAAAACATTTATCTAAATATCGACATATAATTACATTTGAAGATAGTGGTATTGTTCGTTATTATAATTTAAATCAAAATATTGATTTTATTCAAAATCAAAAAGATAATATAGAACGTATTACAAATTATATAAGAAAAGAAAAATGGGAAATATTAAAATCAGAATTAAATCTACGTGAAATCATCGATTGGATACGTACTGTTCAACCTGTTCATCGATGTAGACCAGAAATATTCGAATCTATACTTCTTCATGGACATGTTATGAGTCGAGATTATATGGAAAATTTAAAAAAGTCACAATGTGTTATTGATTCTATTCTTCAACATAGTCGATTAAGACGAATTAAATATTTAAAAGAGAAAAAATGTGCAAAAAATATTAAAAGTTATGTAACTGCTTTGGTTTTAGATGAATTTGAAAAACAATTCTCGAAAAATCAAAGTTTAGATGAGACTATAACAAAAGTACCATCATCACCATCATCACCATCATCATTTTCTGATATTGTCAATATGGAAACTTACAAAGAATTAATTAAGAATAAAGAAGTCATTCTATCATATATTCTTTCTGAAGATGATATAAAAACAATTAAAACAACAGCTATTTCAATAGCTCAAGCTTCTATTAAACTTCGTTCAAAACCAACTGGCATTGGTTATGAACGTGATAAAGATTTAGGAACAAATAAAAATGTTTTTAGTATTCTTGGACCACATATGGGTGATTATGGTGATGTATTCATTGTTTTCAAACGAGAAATTCTTCATCATCCAGATGCAAATTTTTCTATTCAATCAGCAACATCTTATGCTAGTGGAAGAGCTTTTAAATGGCGTCCATGGTTAGGTAATGATCGAGGTTCTCAAAATGATCGAATTAACTTATTTCACAAAACAAAATTACATGCATCAATAACAGGTTATGAATATGCAACTGCTCTTGAATTAATTGCAACAATTAGTCAAGATTTAAAGAAAAAATCAATGAATATTGATTTAGAAACAATTCTTAATTGTTGGTTAGCTAGAGATTCTCATAAGAATATTGAAGGTCATTTACCTCAACTTATTCCACTTGATTATATCGAACATATTTATATACCACAAAATATATTTGATTCATTTAATAATGAAACTTGTAAAGCAATTAAAACTATTTTTGATGATCGTATTTCGATTAAATCATTTCAATCATTAGAAATCTATCGAAAATTTGTTATAAAAGATTTAATTGATAAATATGGTCAACGTAATATTCATTCAATTTCAAGACCTATTCAAGGTACTGTTATAACAATACCATCAACTGATTTTAATGATCCTTTTGTTTTACCTTTAACAATATCTCAAGCATATGAACAATATAAAATTAATCATTTACAAATATCAACTGATATGACAGTTTATATCTATTGGCAAGTTATGAATGGAGATATGATGTTAACATTATCAAATGAACAAATTAATACAGGAGAACAACAACCAAATCTACGTTGTTTAATATGTTATATAGCTGAAAAACCTTTAACAAAAGATATTCATTATTATGAACATGTATCATATTTATATAATGGTCGACCATTTCAACATGAAATTGTTATTAAGGAACAAAAATATGTAGCTAAATCTAGATCATTCTATATTGGATGTAATACAGATGATTTTATGACATTTTGTCTTGAAATTCAACGTTCAACTGGAAAAGTTATTTTATCTCATTCAGGTCCAAATTCAATTTATAATCATGAAAAAATTTCTTCGATATTTTCTAAATCAAATCTTGATCTTAATCAATTAAATTATATTCATGTTAGTGCTGGAGCTCATACAGTACCTATTCGAAATTTATTCATTACTTTCGAGAAACAATCTGAACTTCTCGATAGTATCAATAGTAATGTTCAACTTAATTTACCCGATCTTCCTCATGCCAATCATATTGATAATAATAAAACTGTATTATCAAGAATAGAAATAGTCAAACAATCTGATCAAAATCCAGGTAAATCTATTGGATTGTATATCTATATTTTATAGCATGATGATCATATTGTTGATAAAACATTGATTTTCATTCTTTTATCTTATAAAAGAGTTTTTAATATCTGCGACAGACGGGACAAATATTAAACATTCGTCATCACTATTGCTGTATGGAAAAGGTCTATTATATTTCTCTATTGAAGATTTTTATATCGTTATTGAAAAATCTTTCATAAGAAAAAAACAAAAATTATTTTTCTTTGATCATAAACGTGACTAATGCTTTTCAATTTAGAAAAAAAGTTGTTAGTGTAATCTCTGCGAGATTAAAATATATCATTTACTTAATCCTCTAGAATTTCAGTAAAGGAAATAGTTCATATATTATTCTAATGAGATGTTAGTGATATACCGTCTTTGATCGTATATCAACAAAGGTATTAGTGTGGAATATGCGTCACCATGTGACTATTCGTTCCATGAATTCACATCCGCATCCTATTTCACATACATCCATATTCTAATACAGTGTTTAGTTCTTGCATATTGATCCATATTCGAATTGCGTTCTTCCTTTGTCAAATAATCGAAAATGCATTTTATCTGACTTTGAATGTTACATGAGTGATGGAAAAAAGAAAGAAAGAAAAACAATAGGAAAATTCATTATATACATCTAGATAAAATGTCATTAACCATAGGATCATGATGATGATTCTTTTTTTTTATGCAATATTTTAACAACAATATAAGATAATCCATATAAAATTTCATAAGCATCAATACAACCATTTTCATAATATGAATATAAAGTATAAATTGGAATAGGTCAGCTAATCATCTAAGTCTAAGATTTTTAGAAGAACAAAACTTCTTATACCAAGAATCTTCTGTTTATATTTTAAATATTTTCATATAGCTCTGAACAAGCAGTTAAACACTTATACATTTGACGAGTCAGTTTTCGCATGAATCATGGCCAACATTAAAAAGAATTTGTTTAACCGAAGTTATTGGATCTTGTTCAATTCAAGATTTGTTGTAAATGCAAGAGTTTTGCGAACTAGGTGTGAGCGTGTCAGTTAAATTTAAAATGATTCTTAAGAGTAAGTTCCTGAGAGACTCAGATACCGACGATGGAGGTACATCTCAGAATTCGCTGGTTCTTTAATATGTTATAGAGGATAGTGAGTTTAGTATTTCCTGAAATTTTCAGCTCGATCTGATTATTTTTTCCCTATACAACCAAAACATTAACGAAATTTTTGGTAATTTTTCATAGTAATTTTTTATCGATTTTTAGGCAATTTTCTTTACCAAAAGTGACTTTTTTGTTTCAATTCGTAAGACTTTTGAATTTTTGTATATAGAAGGACAATACCTCAATAGTTATAGTTAGAAAAAACGAGAGGTCAAAAGTCTTACGAATTGAAACGAAAAAGTCACTTTTAGTAAAGAAAATTGCCTAAAAATCGATAAAAAATTACTATGAAAAAATTACTAAAAATTTCGTTAGTATTTTGGTTGGTTGTATAGGAAAAAGTAATCAGACCGAGCTGAAAATTTCGGGAAATACTAAACTCACTATCCTCTATAACATATTAAAGAACCAGTGAATTCTGAGATGTATCTCCATCGTCGATGTCTGAGTCTCTCAGGGACTTACTCTTAAATATTCGTTTGCTGATTAATTCAATCGACAAATAGCAGTTTTTTTTTGTCATTTGTCCTGAAAATTGCTGTGATTCATGTGATCTATAACAGATTTCGCTAAAAACAATGGATAAATTTAACTTCAGTGTTTAGTTCCAGTTCGAACAACTTTTTTTCTTAGTTTCGGTCATGATAAAGTTTTATTTTTTCGTCGCGCAGATCTCTAGTCATGATAAATACTGTTATATTACGCACATCGAGATGATGTGGTGCTATAAGATGGCAAAGGCTGATGCCTCTTCTACTATAGTGGTATACTGCGTCTGCTTGGTGAGAAGAATGTGTGTGATCCAACTCACATGGAGAGCACCATCTTTTATGCACTGTCCGATATATGTTAGTTTCTTGCTTCGATGTTTATAACAAATATATAGCAGTTAACATATAAACATACACAATTGAAAAGTAATCGTTTATATTTTAGCAATGGAAGAAGAAGATCCTTTATTTAACGAATTTCAAAACATACTCAGAAATCTTTTGGTTGAATATGAAGTTTCATTGGATGAATTGAATTTTGTTGAAGTTGCTTCTCTACTTTATAATCAAAAGATAGAAGCATTGGAGCAAATTAAAGAATTATTAGTTGAAAATGATTACATATCTTTTCACCAGAAATTTATTAATCATCCGGATATTAAGAATATCAGGAAAATTCAAACATCTATAACAGAAAAAGTACACGAAGACGATCTTTTTGCTCATTTCAAAAATGAATTAAATTTACTTTGGGAAAAATACAATGTTGATGATGAATTCGATTTTAACAGCACAGCACAAAAATTGTTTGATGAAGATATGAAGTTTTTAGAAATCGTTCAAGATTATTTATTAGAAGATGATTTTTTACATTTCAAAGATGATATTCTGAAGAATGAAAGATTTCAAGAAATTTGGCAAGCCAAAAAATTATCAAAATCAAATTCTATTGATCAGAATTATAATGATTTTAAGAATGAAATGATTAAATTATTTGAAATCGAAAGATTTCCATTAGATAAAGTGAATATTGAGTCGCTTGTAAATAAACTCTATGAAAACAAAGATAGGAACATCGCTGATTTTTTTAAAAATATTCTCAATCCAAAAAAAATTAAACAATTCATAAGAAAAATTCAAACAAATGAAAAATTGAAAACAATTTGGTCATCAAATATGTTAATTTTTATTAAACTAAAAACTATATTAGAAAAATATATTGATTTTACTCATGATAATAATAACGATATAAATATGATCATTTCAGAATTATATGTAAATTCTACAAAGGGAATGAATTTAATCGAAGAAAAATGCACATCTGAAAATTTTACAAAAATGAAATTCGATATGCATAATGATTTAGAAATAAGAAGTAAAATATTTCATGAAAAAATTATAATTAATCCAGAAAATGTTAATATGACTATTGAATCAACATTATCTTCACCAGTAGAATTAAAATCAATCAATGACACAACTATCACTCCAAAAGATTTTTTACCTGATCCTCTCAAAAGACTTGATTAAGAACTAACTATACTGCTATAATAATGCTCAGACATATTTAGAATTATGTGCAAAATTTCAGACTTCTAAGTCTTGTGCTTTGTTGTTGCCTATCATTTCTTTTATACTAGATACATGCGATTTTCAATATAATACATAACGAGTTGGATAGTCGTGTTTTGTATATCAGTTTTGAGGGTGTGGGTGTGAACGTTTGTGTAAGTGTCGATGTGGTTGGATAGAAGACATACTCACATCTCACAGCACATCGATATATCCATATCCACACACACACATCCACACCCTTCATCCTCACAAAGGCTATAAACATTTGTTTCTAATCTAAAGATGAAAAAAATTGTTTTATTTGAATTGCTTGTCGTTATCAACACGTTGTAAATACGCGTCTGCAGTAAAATATGTCTTCGCTTTTGTAAGATTATATGTTGGAAGTAATGATGTTATTTTATCGTTCTTTTTTTTCCAAGTTAAAGTTGTTGCTCAACTAAAGTAATAGTGATTTTTACAGTTAAAAAGAACGAAAGAGGGTCATGTTTTTTTTTCTTCTTCATTCTTTGCATCAGGTATGACATCATATATTTTTCTTACTACAATCAACATCGACACACCACTGCTTTATTCATATTGTAATCAAAACGAAAGGATGATGAATCTGGAATCATTAGCCAATGAGCTGTTGCTCGATTTATTTGAGTATTTATCAACTGTTCATGTACTTAATGCTTTCCATGGTCTCAATTCTCGTTTCTACATGCTTCTTAATAAGCATTTCTGTGTACGTCGTCTTGATTTTCAGTTTATGTCTAAAAGTGATATTAAAATAATATGTCAACAATACCTTCCATCAATTATCAATCAAATCACTTCGCTTCGTCTTTCCAATGATGATGATGATAATTTATTACAAACTGATCTTTTTCTTTCGTATGATTTACAGATAAACTATTTTACTCATTTGCAATCACTCTCATTGTGTCACATCCATTCAGAATTGGCAACGGCTAAAATGATATACCAATGTCGGTATTTGCCTCATCTCTGTCATCTGAAGCTGATCAAATGTTATTCTTTATCTGAACAGATGTTCAATAGTATTTGGCTTTTGCCTAAACTCACTCATTGTTATTTAGATATTGAAGAAAATAGTTTACACATCCCAACAATGTTCTCATTATCTCTTGAATATTTGTCAATCTTAGGTCATTGTTGTCCCTTGAATCAACTGGTTCATCTATTTGAACGGGCACCTCGTATTCGAAGTCTTTGCATAGAACTGGATGATTTGAATATGGGCGGTTATTTACCTTTTCGCGTTCCATTAATCACTACTTTGAGGCTCTATAATGTGCGCTCAACATATGTAATGATGAATCTGCTACAAAACATGCCCAACTTATATTACTTGAGAGTTGAAACATTTGATATCAATCTGAACGGACATCAATGGGAAACAGTTATTGTCGATTATTTACCAAAATTAGTTGTCTTTCGACTCAAGATGGAAGTATCACTTCCAAGAAAAGATGATCATGAACAACAAGTTGATAATCTTCTAGATTCATTTCGAAGTCAATTTTGGCTTGATAAACATCAATGGTTTGTTCAATGTCATTGGAAGTCAAACAATGATCACATTAAAGTACTTTTATATACTTTGCCTCAAGTATTTGTGGAATTTGACATGAATACGGTTAGCACTTGGTACAAATCAACGTGTCCCCATGATAATGTTCAAAGGTCGTATCGAAAGGTACACAGCCTTAAATATCATCCACCGTCGAGTGCATACTTACCCTTCTCTCATATTATCTTTTCTGGCATTCACTACCTTTCTGTAAAACTTCCTCTCGATCAACAATTTTGGACAATTATACCAAGACTAGATCATTTGACTTCTCTTTGTGTTTTGTCGTCTGATAAGGATGCTCAATATCATCTCCAAAAGTTGCTCGATCATTCACCAAGTCTCTATACGTTAGAGATTAAATCATGGCCGTCTTCGCAAATATCATTGATTCGAAATATCAGCAGATCGGTTCGCCGACTTGATTTACGAACATTCGAATTAAGTGATCAACATGATTCCAATCCATCTTTCATTATTCATAAGTGCGTAATATTGGGAACATTTTTTACAGGAAT